CCCAATCATGTTCACGGTTAACATTTCGTTTTCTGCCTATTTTTTGGTTCACACTGTGGAAACTGCCATGTACTATATGTAGCCTAAATGTAAATTTTTGAAGAGCTATAACTATCATCATTTCTATTTCTGGAAACACATCGCTTTTTGGTAGGCTCCTACTGTTAGATTATTAATTTATCCATGTACTCAACTTGTGTGTGTATGGGTAAAAAATGCATATTACGCATTATCATTTTTTTGTTGATGTTACGATCAGTTATCGAGTTACGAAATGTTCCTTACTTCTACATGACTACATGTACAGTGCTAGATGTCTGACTTTGATGCCTATATGATTGTATTTATACTCTAACTCTAACAGGATGTACATGTACATGTATAATTTTGCTTGTTTTTAGAAGTGAACGCTGAATATTTTAACTGGACAGCATTACACCATAATAAATTATCTCCTCCAAAGTGAGCGAAAAATGGCTTTTTAACTTTTTGAAGACGCTCATCCTGGTCACTCATCATCTATAACACGTGAAGCTAGATATAGATAGATGGCTGTTTTGGAGCACTTTTTAAAAAATAGAAGCTAATCGTTATTTATACAGATATTTCAATCTGGTATGCCTTGTATCAATCTGAAATTTAAAAGGTGGGCAACAACATACATATATATACGTAAGGTAGCGTGGTGGAATCTGGCTCTCATCAAAATACGAGAATTCTGACAATTTATAAATTCCTCAGTTATGACTGACTGGTATAGGTATGTGTTACAACGCGGTGGAATGAGGTGCTCGTCAATTTTTAGGCACGTGGAGATACTGGTATCATCTGAAAGCTTCTCCATTTTCCTTGCTTTCAATGAAAAAAAACAACCCTTCTAGAGCTATCTTGAATAATAGTCAAGATATCTGCGATTGAATAAGATGAGGTCAAGTCGACTGGTTTCAGTGGCGAAATTAGTGAGAAAATGGCCGCCAAAGTTTGGTAAATCCAAAAAGAGTCCTTAAATTAAAGACAGAAAAATGTTGTGCCTTTTATCATGCAGTGTATTGTACATGTGTTATATAATTACGGCCAAGATTCATTTTCAATATTATTCTACTAAATTCTCAAATCTCTTCCCCACCCTCCTCCAATAGTGTATTCCATGTATTGGCAGCTTTGTTTACCATTACCGTGTATGAGTGTTTATTTGTTTGTGTTTGTGTCGGTGAGAGACAGAGAGGGACTGAAAGTGAAAGTGAAAGAGAAAGAGAGAGAGAGGGAGAGAGACAGAGAGAGAGAGAGAAAAAGAGAGAGAAAGAGAGAGAGAGAGAGAGAGAGAGAGAGAGAGAGAGAGAGAGAGAGAGAGAAAGTGTTTGTTAATGCAAAATTCATTGCACATATTTCTAATATATATTATTGAAAACATATCATGTACAGAACCTCGTATTCTACATTCAATAAATAATTATTTATAATTTATAACCAATCTGTCTCAAAGTACCACCCCACAAACTTATCGTTAATACCAACTTTTACTTTTAGTTTCACACTTGAAGAGAAATTTACAACCGATACGAGCTTCTCTTGTTAATGAAATGTACAAGAGATAATATAAAGTTTTAGCAATACACTGAAGTAGGCCCTACATTGTATTTGTTATAAGATTCAATATTTAAAGTAATTCCATATAGGGGAATAATAATAATTTAATGGAAACATAATATAATATGTGAGGTGTGCTGACAAAACGAGTTACTTCTCAGATTCAAGCCTTAAAGAAATAGATAAATCACGCTTATAGTATAGGTGAAGTTTTTACAGTTTATAAGTATGGAACAATAAAAGACAGGTTATAGTTAAAGAATATGGCATCAATTGAAAATCTACAAGTTTGACCCTAGTGTCGAATTTTTGGCCAATACCTCCATTTGTGGATTGCGAGAAGTAACTCATTTTGTCAGCATGCTTCACATATAGTCCAGCATATTGTTGGCACTGCTAAAATAATAATTTAAAGCACTCCTTAATTTATCTAAATGAAAATGTAATAATATATTTTGTCATTGCCGTAAGAATAAAATAAGAATAGGACAAAGACATCCAATGTGCCCAGTTGCACGTTGAAATTGCCTTGACAATTTTTTGGAATGTACGCTGTCTTAACTGTCTATAATATATTATAATAAAATTAATATTGTCCTGTCTGTAGCCAGATAAAAATGTACTTTAAATCAATGACACATCACAGCTGCTTACTCAAAGGATGCACTGTCCTGTAGTTAGTAAAGAAATATATGTTTCCGAAGTTGCTCGACCACTCTTGTTGAAAAAGTTTGGGTTCTGTGGTACAGCAGTTAGGTGTTAACTACATGACTACAAGTACTGTTTAGCCATCACATGCAGAAGACGTGAGCTTGATATTCTCGTGTTGGGAGAATTTTTATTGCGTGTCTTAGTTTTTCTTTTTGATTTGGAAAATATTTAGGAAATTTTTTTAATGCATTTTTAAACTCCGCCTTGGGCAGCAACAAAGAAGCCGCCTGGCCTTGTGCACCAGATCAGTGCTGTCCTAGTCCTAGTGCAGTATCTGTTTTGACAGAAATCCACGGTGGGACAGGACAATCCTGTCCGACTCCCGAGACAAGAATGTCGTAGTGCGGTACATTGTACTAAACTTATTCATCTCTCTCTTTCTCTCAAACCCCCATCCCCTCCCCCCACTTTTTCTCTCC